ATGGTTCTTAAGCTATAAAGATCAATCAACTTACATTTGCTTTACTTGTGGTACACGGAACGGGTCTTAAAATTAAATGAAACTTCTTTTCTTTTACGTTACGTCCAAGAAACTGTCCTCAACAATAACTCAAGAACAAACTTATAGAATGTAAAATAACTTGGGCTAACCTTAAATAGCCGGCTTACATGAGCAGTGAGCTCACTACACATTCACCCCAGATGTAGAACACTAAAAAATCGAAGACACCAACTACAACAGATACAGCTTACCTTTAAACATGTTCACTAAAAACCAGAGTTATTAAATTATACAAAATTATACTAAAACCAATATGAATACCTTTATGACATACAACTCGGGGGGTATTTAGTCCTATATTTCTGGTATATACACATAGATATTATGATGGATGCTTAATGCTTATACAATAAATTTTTAAAACAATTTATTTTTACTATGAATCTGAAAAACTAAATATAACCTAACATAGCGATAACAACATATATAATAGTGGGAACCTCATTAGTAAATCGTTGTGAAATTCTTGGTTACAATATAATTTGTAGGACAATTATAAACTAAGGTATCGCTATAATTTTTAGATTGTGAATAATAAGGTAAAATATTATTTTTTATTATTTTATTTCTAGAATTTCTACGTACGTGCATTTTGTACTATTATTTTATTTATTTTTAATTTGATTAATTGTTTATTAAAATTATGTTTATGTGATTAATTGTGTCTCGTAAGTCATAATTTATATGATCATTATCATCCTCAAATTTTTACTTACCTTCTCACCGAATAATATTATAGCTATGAACCCCTTAAGTTGACAAGCCGTCACCCATTATTGGGCATGACAATTTGCTATTACTATTATTGTCCAGATAAACCTATACACCTTTTATATAATGTTGACTACTAAAAGTTCTTAAACTATACAAATCAATCAATTACCATTTAAAAGTATATTTTACTATTATTAACATTTGAATATATATATTTCGATCTATTTCAAATCGGTCTATATAAACGAATATTTTAAATTTAAAAGAATTAAAAAATTTTGATTATTTTAGTTACTAAAATTGTATGGTAGGTCCATAGTGTAATATTAATTTACTAATATTAACCACAAATTATTATTATTACTATTTTTTTTAGGAAGAATAGCGACGAGTACGTATACAGTATATATTTAATTTTGTGTAAAATTTATATTTAACCATTTAGTGACATTTTCCACTATACAAATTTTTTAAAATATATGCTTTAAAAAATATTTGGAGTTTGATGAATTTGATCGTTTAAATTTATTAAAATTTAATAAATTTAAATAAAACTAAAATCCAAGTAAATCATCTAATATTTTGATTCATATATTATAATAAATACAAATTATAAGCAGTTATCTTTAAGTTCTACAATTTGGACTTATAAAAAAAAAGTTTGAAGTGGGTGTCATTTTTGTGTAAAGTAGGTTACAAGTAACTGGGTCTTGGTAATGGATGGTGTTAAATTTGAATTCAATGATATAAAATCATTGTATAAGAAAAACGATTCTGATCGAAGACAGTCAGTTAGCCTATGATATTACTATGTATATTTGATGATATTATTGTGTATAAAGTAATTGATATATGACATAGGTATTTACGTAGAACCTTGTAAACATTTTGTAAAAATTCCAGTTTTTACTAAATTTGTATATTGTTTTTTATTGTGTTATTGAATAATACTGGGAAATTTTTGCTTTTCACCCCCCCCCCCCTAAAGTACCTACTTGATTCACTTTCTTATCAGAAAAGATACTGTAAAAGAAAATCCAATCACTTTTAAGGTCCTAAAAGGTGACGACAGACACAAAAGTAAAAATAAAAAAAAACACACGTCATTGTAAGATCAATACAATCATTGCTCCGTTCGTAATCTAAAATTGTTGTATATTTACATTTTACATTTTGCAACGTTTAATTTGACTTAAACAGTTAAACATTAATCTAATATTCAAAGAAACGGAGTTTTTAAATTTATATTTTTATATCGACCCCTAGTGTTAAATAACCTTCTTCGTCCAATATTATATCATGAGGATTTAGGAATAATATTATAGGTACTTCATGTATCGAGCCATACATAATGTACCTACATTGTACCTATATTGTAAAAAGGTACTCTGTGTGTGTGTGTAATTGACCCACAATCAAGTCTATCATACTTATAGATCTTAAATATAATATATAGGAAAATTATGGATGTGCAACTCGAAGTCAAATTTTTAGGAGGTGATTACACACTTATTTGTTGGCTCACTAAAAACTAATGTTTATAAATATTTGATTATTGGTTGCGATTGACTGCAGAAAATGAATATTTGTTATAATTGTTATACATTTAGATCCGCATATTTTATATTTGGCCAGAACCTCTCAAATTAAAGTGTAGGTACAAATATGCGTAATTTAAATTTAACGAAGTTTAAGGGAGGGTAAATTCTCATTCCCTCATATAGCCCATCTGCAGGCATTAAAACAGAAAAAAATTTATTTTTTTTGGAAAATATCAATTACCTATGCATAATATGCCTAAATAATTGAACATTTAAATTTTTACGATATTAGATTTTCACCGTTGAATTAAATAATTTTCATCTATCGATTTTTGATGTTTTGTTGTCATTCAAAACCGAATAACCGTATATACTCGACATTTTCACCAAGTGTTAAGTGGGCTGGAGCGTAATCCATTCTAAGGAGTAAATCTATACATTTTATATTTTAGTTTATATGAATGTTGTGAATGGATTTAAAGTAAATAAACAATAGTGTGTGTAATTCGTAGTAACCGCATCATAGTGACCGAAAATGTACCATGGACAATGGACATCTGTCATTTTACCTACGCGCATACAATTGTCACTACATGTTACTTTCTAAAATTACAAACAATTTTTTTCAAAAAATACTGCCAGTGGCTTCAATCAATACTCTTAGTAGGATGCTCAGATTTAAATTTTGAAATCAGATATGAATTCTCCTCTAAATTTACTATGCTTTAACTGTTGTACATTTTTCTTATTCTATATCAATGTATTTAAATTTAAATTATGAATATGATCTATTTTTACTATTTTTGTTACTAAATTTCTAAATAAAAAATAATTTTCCAATTATTTTGAGCTATATTTTAAATTGTCATTTTTAAAATGTCTTAAATTATTTTTGAGTTAGAAATTCATAAAAGTTTTATTTTTGTATCTAACATTTGGCATTTTAATTTAAAAGGTTCTCAACGAGTTTTTTCTTAATCTGTCAAAAAAAAAATTCACTGAAAAGTTATAGTATTTAAAATTATGCGATACTTTTGATTTTTATATTTTTATTTTAACTATTAAATCTGATTCTGAGACAATATCTCCGCTCAGAAACGTTTTTCGTAGAAATTATTTATCATTGAATTCAAATCTGACACATCTATTACAACGACATTCTCGACAAGTACTGTACAACAGCGTGGTACCCACTTTTCTATATTTTTTAACTAAAATTATATTGATACGCGATTACTAAAAAAGTATATAAGTACGCCATACAGAAACATAAGTAAGATAAGTCATGTACATATTCTTCAAATAAGTAATAAAATAACATTAAAATTTTTTACCTGAAGAACAATCTGTTTACTGTTGAATCTATTAAATATTTAACATTTTAAAGAACAGAGTTACGTTGTTGATATGTGTTATTACTTATTAGTTATACCAAAAACAATAGGAAAACATTATTGAATAAAGTTAATTTTTACAGATTTGTCAATAAAATACCAAGAATTGTATGAAAACCGTATGTATAATTATTCACTGTGTATCTGTGTATTATGGCTGTTTAGCATAGAATACTGATATATTACGTTTATACCTGTGTGGCACGGATACCTTTTTATTTTTAATAAACACATTATTTAAGTATTTGAAAGAAAGTTGAAATAGTAAAATAAAATTAATAATGAAACTGGTAAATATTTGCTTACTGTGTTACTAAAAGGCTTACCCTTTTCGTGTATTGTGAAAAAGTGCAAATCCGTTTTTATTTTTCCCAAATACTACATTACATTACAATTGGAGCACGTCCATTCATTAAAACATTAGTCTTTGTTGTGCTGCATCTGGAACATCTTCTTGTACACTTATTGTGTTTGTTGAGCAGCCGCTTCAAAGAAAATTACATTTTGTATAGGTACACAGTTTATTTTTCTTCAATACGACTGGGTTTATTTTTGATATATTTTGAGTAGATCACAGTGGCGGCTCGTGAACTGTATGAGGGGTTAGGCAAATAAACAATAAATTATTAATCAATTGAATACTACCATGGCTCTACTTATTGCTCATAGCTCTTTAAAAACTTCTATTAGACCCTTAGTTCAAGTACAAAATTGAAAATTGAATAATAATAATATGTTCATTGTTATTTGTTCGATAAGAACTGATAATATCTTTAGTTTGTGATAATTTGTCCTCTTGAAATATATTATTGCGAACCATCCTTATTTGATCTTCTTTTTACCGCTGTAACATCTTCGGGGCTTGTGGAAGTTTTACAAAAGACTAACAATTCTTTTATCACACCATTTAATAATTAAAATATCACCTTTATCTACATATCAATATTATGCTCTCCTATTTTTAAATCTTTAAAATATTTTAAATTCGGCAAATATTTTCTAGACATAAGCACTTGATAAATAATTGTATCATCTTGTGAATTACGATTTATTTTTAATAAAAAAATAGTTAAATAAAAAAATAACTGTAGGTAACTAACGTATGACATATATTTTAATAAAAATGAGCAAGTAAAATATGAAATATGTAAAATAATTAAACATGGAATTTCCATAAACATATTGTTTCATTCAAATACCATGATTTACTCACTAGACAATTCATTCACTTCTTCTTTCTTCTTTCTTTCTTCTTCGGATATAACGGCCGCTAGGACCATCCTGTTAAACATCCCTCCATCCAGCCGTCTCTGTCGGATGCTTGTGCTTCCCAATCTGATCCTCCACCTAAGGTACTTACATCTTTTTCAACCAGATCTTCCCATCTCATACGAGGTCTTCCCAGAGGTCTCTTCCCAACTGGATCTTTCTCTAACACTATACTTAGCAAGGGGTTCTGACTACGCCAAGCATGACCAGCCCACTTTAGTCTTCTACTTCTTATTGTGTCTAGTATATTTGGCTTCTGTAAAAGTAGTACTAGTTCATTATTCGTTCTTATCCTCCACTCATTGCTACTGCTATCTTTCATCGGGCCATAAATCTTCCTTAGAACTTTTCTTTCCCATACTATCAGCTTTCTTTCATCATATTTCCGTAGTGGCCATGTTTCCGCTCCGTAAGTTATAACTGGGAGCAGTAATGTCATATACAGCTGTATCTTAAGCTCCCTTGATAACGATCTCGATCCTAACAGTTTTGCCAGTCCATAGTAAGCCCTATTGCCGGCAAATATCCTCGCTGATATTTCTTTGGCATTTCATTCTTTTCAGTTATGACCGACCCTAAGTATTTAAACTGCTTGGCTCTGTTGAAAACATAGTTTCTTACATTCAAGGATGGGTACACACCCGCAGTTTCTTTTCTGCCAACGACCATATACTCCGTTTTAGTTTCGTTTATCTGTAGTCCTACTTTCACTGCTATTCTTTGTAGACGGTCGAACAGTGATTTCAGTGCGTTTGGTGATTCTTCCTATAATACTAAATCGTCCGCGTACGCCAATAGACCTATTGATTAGTCTTGCAGCTTCACCCCTTAGTCGGGTCCAACGTTCATTGCTCTAATAACTTTCTCTAACACTATATTAAATAACACCGGTGACATTGAGTCGCCCTGTCTCAGACCTGACTTTACTAATATTGGTTCCGTTTGGCTACTTCCAAGTTTGACTTTAATGAATGTTTCCATAATACTTATCTCCACTAACTTTATCAATTTTTGTGGGAAGTTAAATTCCCTCATAATGTTAATTAAACTGTTTCGATGAATACTGTCATATGCTTTCCTGAAATCAATAAAAAGGATATAGATTTCTTTGTCAAATTCCCATGTATTTTGGAATATCTGCCGAAGAACAAATATTTGATCCGTTGTTGATTTTCCGGGTCTAAAACCTCCCTGGTAGTCGCCGATAGTTTCCTCCGATTTTTCTTTTAATTTTGATAAGACGCAGTTAAAGAATACTTTATAAGTCACATTTAAAAGAGCTATGCCTCGACAGTTATTACAATCTTGCCTGCTTCCTTTTTTATGGATCGGGTATATCGAAGCTGTTTTCCATTCCTCTATTATTTTTTCAGATTTCCAGATCTGGTTTATCAGTTTTCCTATCTTAGTGAGCAGTTCCTCTCCTCCATATTTTAGTAGTTCAGCTTGAACTTCATCCTCACCAAGTGTTTTGTGATTCTTAAGCCATTTTATCTGTAGCTTTATCTCTTCCAGTGTTGGTTCTGGGCAATCTTGTTTATTCCAAGAGTCTAAGTCGAAACTGAAGACGTCGTCCGGCTCTTCACAATTTAATAACTCATCAAAGTACTTACTCCATCTTTTGGATATCTTTTTGCTCGAGGTTATTAGTGTCCCATCACCATTATTTAAGAACCTCTCTTTCTTTTTATATCCTCCTGTAATCTGCTTGTACATATCTCTGGTTTTATGCGATTTATAGTCGAGCTCTGCTTTATCCAATATTTCCCTGAGGTATTTCCTTTTTTCACACCTCAATATGTTGCTCGTCTCTCTTAGGCGAATTTTGTACCTGTCGAAATGCGTAACATTATTTGTGTCATTTAACCAATTCATTCTGGCCACTTTCCTTCTTTCAATGGCTTCTTCGCAAACTCTGTTAAACCAAGGTTTGGTTTTTAAGTTTTTCTTTCCTAAAATCGTTGTCGCTGCATTATTAATGGCACTTCTTATTTGCTCCCAGTGCCTATCCACATCTGCCTCGGCTACTGTTTCCTTTTCTTGTAGAATTTCCTTAACTTTGTTACTAAATTGATCGTTTATTGATTGGTCCTCCAGTTTGTCAATATCAAACCGTCCTGTATTTAACACACGTTGTTTATTAAGTTATTTCAGTTTTACTCTCATCCATATGCCGACAAGTAGATGATCCGAATTCAGGTCAGCTCCCCGTAATGTCCTTATATTTCGGACACCATTCTTGAATCTAGTACATGGTCTATCTGGTTCTTATATTTACCATCTGGGGAGATCCAAGTATACTTGTATATATCCTTCCTTGGGGACATAGTGCTTTTGATCACCAACCCTTTTCCTACAGCAAAGTCGATAAGTTTTGATCCATTGTAGTTTGAAGTAGCATGCAAGCTATGAATTCCGATGGTGTTTCTATATATGGGCTCCCTAACTATTTTCGCGTTAAAGTCTCCTAAAATCAGCCTGACCTGACCCACCGAAGTATTTAATACATCTTCTAGTATTGCATAGAAGAGCTCTTTTTCCATTTCATCTTTATCTTCGGTAGGAGCATGTACGTTAATCAAAACCAAATCAAAGTTTTCTGTTGTTAACGTTAACGTAGATAATCTTGGGCTAATGTCTCTAAATTCTTTTACTGTGTGAATGATTGATTCATGTATCGTAAATCCCGTTCCCAGTCTGTGAGCCTGTTCGCATTTTCCATTAAAAATAGTCGTTTGAGACACCTTTGTCATGCCGGAATCTTGCCATCTAACCTCCTGAAGAGTCACACACTTCATTTTGTATTTTTCAACATCTCTTGCTAAATTTACAGTTGTTCCCTCCTTTTACAAGGTTCTTAAGTTCCAATTACCACATAAAAGTTCCAATTTCCAGTTTCCAGTCTTTTATCCGTTAACCCTAGTCTGAGGCTTGGTGTTTGAGTCCTGAACGTTAGCTTTTTTACAAGGCAGGGTCGTTAGCCCTGCGCTCAACCCCCAACCTGGAGGGCCAGTCTACTCCAACCAGTTAAGGTCAGAGTAGGGCTATTACAGTACACTTACTAATTACACTGGGCGATGGGCACGCCACTTTCCCTACTCCAAAAGACAATTCATTCACAGTGAGTTAACTTTGCTTTGCTTTGGGGGGATGGCTAAGCCGTGAAACTATACCAGGCTTTTGCCTCTACTAGTGGATGGATGTTTAGGAAGGTGGTTTTAAATTTGTTGGTCAACCCATGTCAAAGGGTAGGGTTTGATTCTACACTTTGTGGTTGGAGGGGTGTGAGATTTCCCTAAGAGTCGGATGTGGTCATGAATAGAGAAAGAGTTTTTGTAGAACATCGATTTGGATTGGCTATGAATAGAATTTTTGATAGACTTGAAATTTTCTGATTTTAGAAGGACCGAGTTTTTAACGATAGTGGGCATACCCGTTATCATGCGAATGCCGATGTTTTGGACAGATTCGATACGTTTCCAATGTGAGGGACCGATAAAGGGCGCCCAAGAGGGGCCAGCATAAGAAAGAATTGGAGAGACGTAGAGTTTTAAAATATTGAGTTTTGAAGATTTTGGGACGGGGCTAGAACGGTTGAGAATGCGGTAAAGAATTCCGTGAGAGTGGCCTTTTTGGTGATGTCTTGAACGTGTTTGTCGAAGGTGAGTTTGCACCCTATTGTAACGCCGAGGTATTAGGCATGATTGGACCAAGTCACTGGATGGTTGTCAACAGTGAGTTAAAATATGGACTCCAGCGTTTTATGTCATTCCAGACAAACCATTAGGTATCGACAAAATATTTTTGTATGCAGTGAATGAAATTCTTTATATTCAAATACTGTAACAATTTGTTATATTACTCATAAATCATATAATTCATAGATTAACTACAAAGTGACCAAGAAAAAATAATAATATGTGTCCGATCGTCGAAAAAAAATTAAATTTTTACTTGTGTGTGTTAGAAAAAATATAACGATGTTTAGTTTGATTTTTAAATATAGAATCATAATTATTTTTTGTATTTTTTTTTTGATTACATTTATACTAATATGTGATAACTATAAAATGAAAATTAGTAGGTAATATAGCTCCTGTCCATAATTTCAAATTAAATATGTTAAGATTCAATTCGATTGTAACCAACCAAATTACGTTACACAAAAAATATGGGAAATCATCACAATAATGTAATTTTTACGTATTTTGCAGAAGACTTGCATCAAGTTATCACAGACCGTATGTATAACTAATGTTATAACTTATAAATAAATGGTTATAATCAATGCCCAAAACACCCGTGAATGAAATAAAATATTAGTGTTTGAATACTGTTAAATTCCTGTAGTACTGTCGTTTATATTAAATACCTGATGATTAAATACAAAAAAATAACTTAGGCTAAATGGTGTTTCCCCCGTTTAGTAACCGACTGACTAAAGCGGTGATCCAAGGAATGCTAGCCAAGGTTTTTCGTAGCCAACTGAACATTTAGCGGTTTTATTCCTATGTGAAAAAATAATGCATTGGGTTCAACTAACCTCATCGTTTTTCTGCTTAAGTATAACTTAACAGTGTAATAAAATCAGCTTATTCCATGGGCTGGATATTAATTGGAAAGCCCAGTTGTCTACATGTTAGTCATTTTATAATTATATTTTTTTTTATATTTATGTTGATAAATTTTTCTATCTCTGTACAAAGTATTGGTAAGATTTATATAAACATCGGAAAGTTATAAGAAATATGTTTTAGTTCACAGAAGAAAATTTTAATATTTTCATAGCTAAAATAAAAACGATTAAATTGGTGTGTTTTAAATATAATTTTGACGGGTTTGTGGGCTAAAAATTGTTCTTTTTATATACTTAAACAAATCGATTTCTGTACGCGTTTATGAAAGGGAAATAGAACGAACCTACTCAAATAATCTAATACTTATTTATTTTGCAGGTTCCGAACAACCGATTACTTTTTTTTGTAAAAAATATATGAACGATTCAAACGGAGAATTCATTAAGAAGCTGTTTACATGTGGATAAATATTTTGTTTTTTCTCGTTTGAAAATAAATAAAAATACAATTACATATTATATTATTTATCGCATTATAAACACATGCTCTTATAAATTAAATTAAAACAAATTCGATGTTTTCGACAAAAAATAATGTTTGGCGTATGTAATTAATATTTAATAGTAGGTAGTACAAATTATAAATGTATAATATATTATAATACTAATACATACTTAATAATAAAGGTTTGTCTATCTCAGTGCTGTATCTTTTTTCTACCAAATGATTGTATTCATAACTTGCTTACATCCATGATCCATTACATCGATTATATCCAGACTACAGTGACCTCAATTTATTTGATCAAAAATAAGGTACACTCAACAGTGGATACCTTACTGTACAGTGTAAAAAACTGGTT